CCTGGAGTGCAAGAGGGCACTCTGCAAAGTTGCTGTTGCTCGGCAGCTCCTGTGTTGAGCGTCTGCCCCCTGGTGGTCAGTGCATGTCATAGCTACCAGCTGGTCGCTTAGGCTTTTATATATATAGAAGATGATCGCATACTTGTAATAGAATGCCTCTTTGAAATTTCCAAGTATATTTTATAGTAGAAAATAATTTATAGATAAAGGAATTCATTATGATATTTCTGTTTGGTCATTCAGTCTTATTCTATTTGATGGATATCACTACTTTAATTTTTTTCATTTTTATTTTTAAAAAGCAATGTTTTGGTAAGTTTTTGAAAATTTAGAAATAGTCATTTTATATTTCTGTTTTCCCTTTGGACATGTTAATTAAGTCAATTTGGGTTTATTGGGCAGTTTCCCAATTCTGAATATTTTATTAAATTTAAAAAGAAAGCTTACTGAGTCATGATATTCTCTCTCTCTTCTTTTCCTTTTATAGCCAACACGTATCTCTTTATGGTACAAGCTCGAGGAATAATGTTGAGAGAAAATGTGAAAACGATAGGACATATGATCAGGCTTTACACAAATAAGAACACGACACTCAACGGTACAGGTAAGATTGCTTCCTGCATAAGCTGGCTCTGCTTCTGCCTCTTCGCCTTGTAGTTACAAAGCAGTGACCCAACCTCCAAGCTCTGGTTTTGCCTCCAGGTAACTCCCTGTGAAAGATGAGGGTGTCCCCTCCTAAGTGTCCTGGAAAATCCTTTCACTGCTCGAGCCAAGACTGTGACGCATTCTATTCTAGGATCTATAAAGGTCCGAGACCTATATAAAAGTGATGAGGGTTTTGTGCAAAGATACTCAGGTGAATTCTTGCAAACCTGAATTCAACAAAATAGAAAAGCAGCTTGTATTTTTCCAATTCTTTTGTATTTAAGATTAGAGGCCCGGTGCACAAAATTCGTGCACTTGGCAGGGGGGAGTCCATCAGCCCAGCCTGCGCCCTCTTGCAGTCCAGGAGCCCTCGGGGAGTGTGTCTAAGCCATCAGTCAGACATTTTTAGCGCTGCCGCCGAGGCGGGAGAGGCTCCCGCCACTGCCACTGCGCTCGCCAGCCATGAGCCCAGCTTCTGTGGGAGTGCACTGACCACAGGGGGCAGCTCCTGCGTTGAGCATCTGTCCCCTGGTGGCCAGTGCGCATTATAGCGACTGGTCATTCCGCTGTTTGGTCGATTTGCATATTAGCCTTTTATTATATAGGATAAATTAACTACAAAAAGAATATTTTATTCATAGTAGCTATTCTTCCCCCCCCCCTTTAATGTTTATTCTAAGTCCTAAAATGTTTTTCCAACTGTGTCTAGAAAATACTTACTGTTTTTCATTATCAAAGGTTCTTAATCATTTCATGAACTTTTTAGGGGCTAAAGGGGAATTATACAAAATTAGAAATTAGTAGCTGCTCTTGTCTTTTAAAAATATTTTCTGGAAGAATGTTCATTAGGGCTATCTGAGGTTAAAAAGTAACTAACAGGCCAAATTAATGACGGTGAGATGGGTGAGAATGGGTGTCAGTGTTGTGCTCCTTTACGCCTGCTCCACATCGTCTCCTGAGAATGGTGGGGTGCCTCTAAAGGGCTCAATGGCTGGTGGTTGAGGCTCACCCTGATTGATAAGTCAATGGCTGTCTTATCCTCTGTATTCTCCTTTTGAACAGTTAAAATTAAAGATTCAATTTGTGTCAACAGTTCTTCAATTGTGCCCCTGTAAACAACATACACACATACTACACTGATAGGACAGTCTTACCTCCCAGCCACAGATGTTTTTTCTTAAAATGCATGTTAAGGTAGGTGATAGTTTTAGACCCTTCTAAAAATTCAAGACTCTAACACATAGATTCTTTTTTAAAAATAATTCTTTATTATGAAAGTATTACATATGTCCCCCTCTCCCCATTGACCCTGTACAGCCCCCTTTCTCCCCTCCTCCCCCCACCTGAGGCCTTCAGCACCCTATTGTCTGTGTCCATGGGTTATGCATATCTGCATATAAGGTCTTTGGTTGATCACCTTTCACCCACCCACCTTCCCCGCCTTCCCTCTGAGATTCCACACTCTGTTCCATGCTTCCATGTCTCTGGATCCACTCGGTTCATCAGTTTGTTACTTAAATTTCACATATGAGTGTGATCATGTGATACTTGTCTTCCTCTGACTGGCGTATTTCACTTAGCATGGTACTCTCCAGGCCCCTCCATGCTGTCTCAAAGGGTAAGAGATTCTTCTTTTTTACTGCTGCATAGTATTCCATGGTATAAATGTACCATCTCTTTTTTATCCACTTGTCTACTGATGGGCACTTGGGCTGTTTCCAGATCTTAGCTATTGTATATTGTTCTGCTATGAATTTAGGGGTGCATACATTCTTTCTGACTGGTGTTTCTGTTTTCTTAGGATATATTCCTAGAAGTGGGATTACTGGGTCAAATGGCAGTTCCATTTTTAATTTTTTGAGGAAACTCCATACTGTTTTCCATAATGACTGCACCAGTCTGCATTCCCACCAGCAGGGCACTGTGGTTCCCTTTTCTCCACATCCTCGCCAGCACTTGTCATTTGTTGATTTGTTGATGGTAGCCATTCTGACAGGTGTGAGATGGTACCTCATTGTGGTTTTGATTATTTGCATCTCTCGGATGATTAGTATCTTTGAGCATTTTTTCATATCTAACATACAGATTCTTAATTTAATTTCACACATGCTTCTATAAAATCCTTCCTAGTTATTTGCCAAATTTGTGTTATGGTCACCACAAATCAAAACATTCCTAACTGTCTTCTCTTTATTTTATTTTAGAAAGACTGTCTCATTGCTGTTGATGCTTTATTTAGTGAAACTCTCATTAACTGGTCGTCTTCATTGGTCTTCTGAATAGTAGGGCAATTTTAGGAGAAGTGTATACATCTTAAGAACTACTTTAGGACTTGTCCTGGTTGAATAAGTTGATTGTAAAGGTGTTCATTAACAGAGGTAGTAAGCATCTTTACATTACTAAAAATCTGTGTATAATCAAGTTCTTTTCCTGGGGTAGGAGTTTGTTATGTGTGCGAATGTTAAGCATAAACAGGAGAACTGATTGCTTGGGCAAGATGAACTTTCCCTCAACCCCCTAAAAGTGGGAAAAACAGGAAATCCTTTCCTCTTCTCACCAAGTCATCCTTTCAATAAAGACTGAATAGCCAATGCATACTTGGATTATATTTTGCTTACTTTTTTTTTTTTTAAATCCTCACTCGAGGACATATTTATTGATTTTTAGAAAGGGTTAGGGGGAGAGAGAGAGAGAGAGAGAGAGAGAGAGAGAGAGAAACATTGATGTGAGAAACAGTGATCCATTGCCTCCTATGTACGCCATGAACCTGCAGCCTGTCGGTGTACGGATGATGTTCCAACCAACCGAGCCACACTGGCCAGGGCAGATGTTTATGAACCTTTGAAAACTCTTCACATGGGTCCTTCATTGGCAGTAAACTGTTCTTGGGAGACAGTCATTCGTCGCATGAGTTAGGACTTGGATTTGGTTGTAAGAGAGACCCAACTGCGATGCTTTAAACATATGAGGGCTCTGTTCCCCGTAGAAGAGGTTTGAAGTTGGGGGTGTGGGGGGGCTCTGCGGAGAAGGGCTTCACAAGCTTCCCGTCTCCCCTCTGTCTGGAGCTTCCCGTCCCCCAGGCGGCCAGGGCTCAGGCTCTGTGTGGGTGCTTGGTCAGTGGGAAGGAGGGAAGGGGGAAGAGAAGAACGAGTAGAGTGCCCTGTGAAGAGCCTTCCAGGAAGCCCACAGCATCTCTGCTGACATCTCAGTGGCCAGAACGCAGTCGTGAGGGCCTGGGGATTACGTCTTTGAGGGGGCCCCTTGGTGCTCTGGTTGGAAGTCAGGTTCTGTTAGAGAGAGAGAGAGAGAGGGGAGAAAGCGAGTTGGTGTAGGCAACCACGAGCTCTGCCATTTTCATTTATATTGGACAATTAGTTCATATACCTACCTAGATACTGGGATACGACATTAACAGAAACATCCTCCCTTTATATGAGGCTTTGGGAGAGGGTGGGGGGAACATAGTTATAATGCAGTTGTCTATTTCTCTATGAATTTACACTAATATGATCTGCCAAAGCGGAGATCATTGCCAATAAGATGTACAGAGAACTGACTGACTTCTAGGGGGAGAATTGATTGACATGCACTACCTCATTTAAAATTTAATACTTCGATTAGTTCTTAAAAGTTCTCATCGCAAGACAAAAAGTTGTAACTATGTCTGGTGATGGATAGTAACTACACTTGTGGTAATCATTTTGCAACATGTACATATGTCAAAGCATTATGCTGTACACGTTAAAGTAATACAATGCTATATGTTAATAAAAATATCTTCCTATAGAATAAAAGGCTAATATGTAAATTGTCCTCTCGACCGGGAGTTCAACCGGGAGTTGGACCAGGGGGCAGGGCCAACCGGGGGGAGGGGCCTCGGTTGGTTGGCCAGCAGATTGGGGGCGGGGCCGGCCGGCCAACCCACAGCCCCTCCCCCTGGACTGGCCCCCCCAACCCGATTGGGGGTGGGGCCAGCTCACCAACTGCCCGCAACCCCTCTCCCTGGCCAGCCCAGCCTGATCGGCCCCAATCAGGGTGAGCCAGCCGGACCCCACCAGTGCACGAATTTGTGCACCAGGCCTCTAGTATAAAAATAAAATGTAACATTTAATGGCAAATAGGTTGTGTCAGTTATAAGTACATTTGATTTCAAAAAGGGGTTTTTACCCCTGTACCTGACTTTCGGAAGCGTCACATGTAAATAGATTCCATGTAAAATATTTTCGTAAAGAAATCACACTCTCTCATAATCAAACGGTGCCTGGCCTTATGGCTGCGGAGTCGGTCGAAATAAAAAAACAAGATGTACTCAGTGAGCGATGGCAGAAGCAGATGATGAGGGTCATGCACTGTTGGGGCTAGTGGGTTTGTTAGCAGTGACCCAGCGCACTTCCTTCTGTAATGGATGCATGTTCTGAGGCCCCCGGACATGGCCAGAGCGACATGACATGCTGGTGGTAAACAGATTAGGACTCACTGGGTTTCTATTCCCGGCTCACCCTGCCCTTTTGCCGGAAAAACATGGTCCTGGCGAGTCTCCTTGGGCCCTGTTCCTTCCCCGTAAGGCCGGGAGGGGATGGGCAGCAGTTCCTCTGCGTGTCCCCTCCCCCGGGTGTGGCTGGGGAGGTGGACCCGTTCATTAGATGAAATAACGTCTCCGCTGCAGAGCAGCTGTGGGGACCCGTCTCGGTCGCATCTGCCACGCAAACCCTTTAAAACCGACGTGGAAAGCAGCGGTTCGCCCGGAGGGACCTCGCCTCTCTGAAGGAATAATGATTTTGTGGGTTTATTGCAGGAGAGTCCCTCAAACCTTAGGTCGTCGTTGGCCCTGGTGTCAGTTGCGAAGTGTTCATTTGCAGTCATTTTCTACTATGTTGCCGGAACTTCATCAGATACTTAAACTCGGAGGGAGTTTAACTTCACAAAAGAGAGATTCAGACCAGTGGCCGGGGGTGGACAGGGGGGTGACATCCGTGCCACCGGACACAGTGCTCGCGTAGCCCAGATGCTGCTACAAGCCTGGCTGTGAGTTGAGGGCCCTGTGATCCTGTATAAGCCTGTGGCCAAGTGAACACGTGCAGCTCCAACACTTTGTATTTAAGGGACGTGCAGAGACTGACGCTGCATGATTTTAAGGTGTTTTTTAAAAAATGTGGTTCTGTAAAAACTGATAAAAGTGATGCAGGGGCTCCTTTGTGAAAGAGTCGGTCCTTCTCTCTCACGAAAATAAAAAGTGAGATACCCCCTGCCTCCTGTTGCCACGGACTCCCCAAGGAGCCGCGTTAGCAGCTGTTCGCAGGGATGTCTGGAGAGCTCACGTTTTCTGGGAGCTGGGTGTGGATTTCCAAACGCACCGTGTGTGGCCAAGAGAGGGGTCCAGGCGTTAATGACGAGAATGAATCAGTTCTGCGGAGTCAAGGCACCTCTTACTGAAAGTTAACTCGTGACTCTGAGGATGTGTGAGGGGGTGACATTTTTCTGCCTCGGGGTGATGAGCAAGTTGGTCTCTGGAGCCCAGAAAGGCAGTGACGCCCAGGGACAGCCTGACCCACCGTCTGTCTTCCCTCCTGCAAGTGCACAGCGAGCAGCAGCTGCTCAGCCAGCAGAGCAAGGCCCCGGGAAGGGAAAGGAGGAAGTTATTTTGGGAATAACTTTAAATTTGATATCTGTCTAGATATATTTTTTCAAAGCCTCCTACGGAAAGAATCAGAACATTTTTGGACTTCCTTATACTTGTGTTGCGTATCTTTAAATTTCTCCATCACCTGTGGGTGAGATGAGACGTAGGTGGTGGGCGACTCGAGGGGTGTCTGTGGTTTTAGTCTGTCGCTGGGCACACAGGACGGTCGCTGCCCACTGAGTCCCCTCCCCCTCCCCTTCGGTGGAGGATTTTCCTCGGCCGCTTCCTGGGCGCCCAGAGAAAGGATTCCCTCCGGACCTCCCCGTCCTGGTGGAACAGGCCGTAGCGATCGTCCCATCACCCTTCTGGCAGCACAGGCACGATGACCTGCCGGGCCGTCCTTTAAAATCGGACCTTCTCCTCCAGCTTCCGTCTCTTCCTGGTCCCCATCAACCTCTGCTTAGCAGCCTCGGGGGGCCCTCCCAGCAGGTGGCCTGGAGTGGGCGGCGTCTCTGCTCCCAGTGCCACCCTGGCCCCCAGCCACATCCCCCCTAATTCCGTGTTGTTGTAGTTAATCCTCACCAGAGGATGTTTTTCCATTGACTTTTGAGAGGGGGGGGGTGGGGAAGAGAGAGAAACGTTGATGTGAGAGAGACACATTGATTGGTTGCTTCCCGCAGGGCAGGGGATCGAGCCTGCAACTGAGGTACATGCCCTTGATCGGAATCGAACCAGGGACCCTTCAGTCTGAGGGCCAACGCTCTATCCACTGAGCCAGACCGGCCAGGGCCCAGTAATTCCATGTTGATGATCAGTGGATATTTGTGTTAGGCAGAGGTGCACAGAGAGGGGTTTGGTTTCCTTGGACGCTTCTCACGTACGTGCTCCATATTCCGTGTCCAGGATTCTACCATTTTCCACAGTGAGAGGGGGTGGTGTGGCCTGTTGAGTAAGATAGAGGATTTGGACCTGCAGTTTCTGGCTTGCTGGTCACTGACAGGCCTCACTTTTTAAAAAAAATATATATTTTATTGATTTTTTACAGAGAGGAAGGGAGAGGGATAGAGAGTTAGAAACATCGATCAGCTGCCTCCTACACACCCCCCACTGGGGATGTGCCCGCAACCAAGGTACATGCCCTTGACCGGAATCGAACCTGGGACCCTTCAGTCCGCAGGCCGACGCTCTATCCGCTGAGCCAAATCGGTCAGGGCGATAGCCGCACTTTTAAGTCAGAGGCCTGTTCTCCCCTCTCCGACCTCCCTCACGCAGGCAGTTCCGTAGGAATCGCGCACTCAGAGCACATTCTCCAGATGGAATGAGAGTCTTCACATGTTCCAGAAGTTTCTGCCCGAGCTTCATTCCCTGCAGGCCCAGGAGACAGAACGCAGTGTCATCAGCCATTTGCACCTCTCACCTCTTGCTCCCTGCATGTGGGGCTCACCCCCTTAGGCCGGCTTCCGCTCACAGGGCAGGACCCCGGCAGGTCGGACGTTCGTTCCAGGAGGAGGCCGACAGGTGATCTCTTGGCTCCAGGTACAAAACTCCTCAGGCTCCGGCTGTCCCCATCTGGGTCCGGTGCTCACCTGAGCCCGCTGCTCCGAGCTCCCTCAGTGCATCTGTCTACGGCAGTGGTCGGCAGACTGGCCCCTTGAGTGTGGCTCTTCCACAAAATACCACGTGCGGGCACGCACGTACACTGCGATTGAAACTTTGTGGCCCGTGCCACGGGGCCAAAGAGCCGCATGTGGCTCGCGAGCCTCGGTTTGCCGACCACTGGTCTACGGGCTCTCAGCACTCAATCCATTTCTCTGGCTGAAATCGGACACGGCCCCAGGAGGTGGGCACGGGAGCAACCATGTTACCTTACCCTGCACCACCACGCTGGTGTGTGTTGAGATCAAGGATTTGAACTCAGCACTTGACCTTGGGGCTCTGGACCGGTTCCCCCTGCGTTACAGCTTGCTGAACCTGAAGATAGTGGACCTACTGTGGTAACAGCTCGGGCTCCCCAGGGAGCAGCCCGGGGCTGGAAGTGACTGACGTAAAGGTTTAAATTGGGCCGTGTTACAGAAGTGAGTTGAGGGGGTAAATTACAGTCCCCTGCGTGTGGGTGTTGAGAATGCGCTCCCCCCACACCTGTGCTCCGTGGGTGCTCGAAGCCGTGCCTGTCTGTGTGGTCGTCCGAGCACCCCTGGCTGTTGTGGTGGAGAGGATTCCCGAGTCCCTGGTGTACGGTCATCACCGCCCTTTCCATCTGGTCAGCCAGGGAGGGGTGGGAGCAGGTGTCCCATGCGGCCGCCAATGGGCCTGTATGGCTGCGAGTGGGTCAGGCCGGCTGCTCTCTGGGCCTGTCCCAGGGTTCCCTGGGGACACCTTGCTGAGAGGCCCCTTCTGGCGGCAGTAAATGATACATGGAGGAGGAGCCATGGCAACCGCATTTTGCTTTTCGCTCGTTCTTTATAGGAAACTAGAGGCCCGGTGCACGAAATTTGTGCACATGGGGGTGTCCCTCAGCCTGGCCTGCGCCCTCTTTCAATCGGACCCTCGGGTAGGGTGCCTAGGCCTGGCTGGCGATCAGGGCCTATCGGGGCTTTCCTCCCCTCGGCTGCCGGCAGCTGACCCCACCCCCGCTGCTGCCACTGCTTGCCATCTGTGTGGGGCTCCTCCCTCCCCCCCGCCACCCGTTGCTTCCCTCTGTGGGCGACAGGCATGGGGTGCGATCGCTTGGCTGGCCTGGGCCTCCCTTTGCAGGGCGATCAATCTCGGGGCCCCCAGATCAATCGCCCCACAGAGGGAGGCCCCGCCCACCCACCGCAGCACTGCCAACTGGGTGGCCTGGGCCTCCCTCTGCAGGGCGATCGTGGGGCAATAGAGGGGCCCCCCGACCAATCGCATCGCACCTGCCTTGGCTGGCCTGGCGCCAGTGCGTGTCATAGTGTGGTCGTCCAGAAGGTCGTCCGGACGGTCATTCTGCTGTTTGGTCGTTCGGTCGATTTGCATATCACGCTTTTATTATTATAGATTCCTTTTAAGTGCTTCTGTAGATTGCATATTGCAGATCTTCTCACAGTGACGGTGACATATTTCAAACTAGAAGCAAAGCCAAAGGCAGTTTTTGGTTGTAACTTTTTTCTCTCTCTCCAAGATTATCCCGAAGGCAGTAATTCAAGTGATTATCTTGTTCAGACAACAACGTATCTTCCGGAAAACTTCACGTACTCTCCATACCTCCCCTGCCCAGAAAAACTGCCTTACATGCGTAAGTGTCACTAATTTGACTTAACTGTTTGCTTGTATTATGATAAAATAATAAAAGTCACGTGAAGTGAGCATGCCAGGCGCACATCATTACTATGGTGCTGATGCGCATACTGTGTAGCATGCTGTTCAATTTTTTTTTTTTTTTTGGTTAAGGATATTTTTGGGGAGGGAGGGGGATTAAAAAGCTAAAGAAAAAGTTTATCCCAGAAGTAACCTCTATTGTGAGTTCAATGTGTTTTCTTACAGTTTATTTTAAAATTACTTAAAATAAATTCTCACCCAAGGATATGTTTATTGATTTCAGAGAGAGAGAGAGAGAGAGAGAGAGAGAGAGAGAGAGAGAGAAAGAGAGAGAGAGAGAGAAGCATCATTGTGAGAGAGTAACATCGACTAGTTGCCTCCTGTGTGTGCCCCGACCTGCTGGGCCCCCATCAGGGTTTGAACCTGCAACCTAAGTATGTGCCCTGACTGGGAATCGAACCTGCAAGTTTTCAGTTTATGGGATGACACTCCAACCAACTGAGCCACACAGGCCAGGGCTAAAATTACTTTTTATATAGATAGGTGGCTGGTTAGAAAATGAAAATGTTTCAAAGGTTTTAAGAATTTGAATAAATGGTTTTACATTACACTTCATTCTGTAAATTGCTCTTTTTACTTAATAATTTTTGAGAACTATGCAGGTGGGTACATGTAGATCTGTCTCTTTCATTCAGTCTTGTACAGTGCGTCTTTGAATAAACGTACCTCACTGTTTCAGCTTTTGCTTTCCTCAACACTCGTGGGTTTAAGGAACTCGTCATGTGACTCTGAGTGGTTTTGAATGTTCTGTCACCGTGTCCTTTATCAGTTCCTTGTTGGTTAATGAGGTTTTTGCATTGATCACTGGGAGTCTTTTCATACATGTTCTGGGAGTGATCTGTTGTCTGCTATCTCTGCTGTAATACCTTTCACAGTCCCTGGGTTTCTTCATTTTGCGGATGAAGTTTATTTTACGACAGTTTAACATTGTGATGTTTTCAAGTGTACCAGTCACTTTAAGGTTTTTGCTTTTTGTGTGTGTTAAGAAAGCTTTCTGTATCCCAATGCCATGCAAATGCTCTCCTTTATTTCCTTCTAATAATTTTATAATTCTGTTTTTTTAACTTTTGTGTAGAAATCAAGATATTGTATTTTAAATATATATATTCTTCAAAATTATGAAGAGAATACATTATCACTACTAAAGAACATTACAATCACTCAGAGGCAACATAGCTATTATTTTGGCTTCTTTTTCTTTGTATTCCCTTTTAAATATACTTTATACATATGAGTTTATATCTTGATTTTTATATAACTAAAAATCTAAATTAATATATTTTTGAATTACTTGTATATCATTGTGTTCTAATGTCCTCAGTACCGAAGTGTGTTTTTTTTATGTCTTTACCTGAGTTTACTGAGGAATTTGGCCTTTGTCTGCCATATTTGTAGGCTTCTTTTCCATTTGTAGTTCATAGATATTATAGACCTGTAATAAAAAGAAAGATTCCCCTTTTAATACCATCTAAGGCCATGGTTCTCAAATTTTGGCCTGTGTCAAAATCCCCAGTTGTCTTATAAAACACAGACCGCTGAGCCCCACCCTCAGAGTTTCAGAGTCAGCAGATCTGGGGTTCTGGTGTCTGAGGGCTCCCAGGTGACCTGGATGCTAGTGACTTGGGCCACGTTCTGAGACCCGCTGACCTGGAGTTCTGGTCTCCCTTCGGCTGCACACAGCCTGGGGGCTTTCATAACTCTCCGCCGACCCCTACGTTTCTGGCTTCGCTGATCTGACACGGCGCCCGGGTATTTCTAGTAAAAACCCTCAGTAGATTCTGAGCGTGCGGCCCCTTTGTTACTGCAGCCTTGGTTTTCTGAAAATGAATGTTTCTGTCTGTGCTGGGCTGAGTGCTCTGAGCAGTGCTCTGTTGAAATATTGATGACAGTAATTTCATTTGCATAATTTGCATATTCAAGGGCTTATAGCTTTCAGGAAATCCTCCCGTTGGGGTTAGTTGCCGTTTTCTTCATCAGGGCTTTGCGAGTGCTAATGAACTGCTCACAAGCACTGCCTGCCACGCCTTCCGGGGCTTCCTCCAGCCCCCACTCGCCACCCCTCAGCGACGCTGGAGCGAGGGCCTGGCTGCTCCGCACTGCCTTTCCCGTGGGCTTTTCTGGTTTGTTGTTCTGAGTATTTTCTTTTAATCTTTATTGTTGAAAGTATTACATAGGTCCTCCTTTTCCCCCATTAACTTCTTCCAGCCTCTCCCTCCGCTCCCCAGGCCCTCACCACCCCATTGTCCGTGTCCGTGGGTGATGCATATATGCAGACAAGCTCATTGGTTGATCTCTTCCCACCCACCCTCCCCTGCCTTCCCTCTGAGGTTGGACAGTCTGTTCATGCCTATGTGACTCTGGGTCTGTTTTTGATCATCATCAGTTTATTTTCATTATCCCTGCGTGTCTTCATGCTGCTGCCCCTTTCCTCAGTCTTTTTTTTTTTAAATAAATCTTTATTGTTGAAAGTATTACATATGTCCCCCTTTTTCCCCCCATTGCCCTCTCCCACCTTCAGTCTTTTTTTTTTTAATGTTTTTATTGATTTCAGACAGAGGAAGGAATAGGGAGAATCATTAATTGGCTGCCTCTTGCACACCCCCTACTGGGGATTGAGCCCGCAACCCGGGCATGTGCCCTGACCAGGAATCAAACCGTGACCTCCTGGTTCATAGATCGACGCTCAACCACTAAGCCACGCTGGCTGGGCTGCTCCTCTGTCTTGCATTCTTCTACAAGAGAGGTCACACTCGTCTGGTCCGCTACCTGCTCACACAAGGCCTCCTCGTGGGCAGCTGGTTTGAGTCCAGCACCAAGCGCTTGTCTAGTTAGCTGTGGCCACAGTGACGGGGTTACTGGGCAGGAGATATGGCCCCATACAGGTAACTCCGTGGAAAGAGGCCGTGGGCTCAGCCAGCACAATGAGGCTCCTGCCAAGAGCGCCTGGCGTGGGCCGTCCAGGAGGCCCCTTCACTAGTGCGAATCTTTGCCAAGGGGACCTCCGTTTTCCTGTGTGTGAAGTCTGGGATCGCAGTATCGACCTCAGAGCGTTGCAAGGGTAAACAGCAGCGCAGCGCTTGAAGCCTAACTGGAGTTAATTCCATAGTCCCTTTCCTTCTCCTCACTTCTTTAAATGGTGTAGTCAAGCTGGGTAGTGATCAAGAGAATGTGAAACCTGGGAGATATGTGTGGAGTCGAAGAGTTGTATAGTTGGCTCTGCATCCTTAAATTCGTTTAATTAACAAGGTTATTTCCCAGCGATGGTAGACCCAGCATAATAAAATTCCTGAGTGTAAAATCTTATTATAATATCACACAAAATAATTGAATACGATACCTCCCCAAATAATAGTTACAGGAAGCTCTGCGTAAGATTAAGATCTACTTAGGCGAAAACCACTCAAGTGTGAATGGTACTTCATTTTCTTAACAATCACCAAAAGTGAAGTTAAGGCTTAAAACTGGTGAGCTTGATTATCTAGCTGTGACTTCTTTTTGCTTTTTCTCTAGTGAAGCGATGAGACTCTCCATTGCATTATCATAAAGATAACATCTGAAATTTCCAATAGGAATTCAGATAAAACTGATTTCATGGATTTCAGCAATGTTTTATATTCAGCCAGTTACACCATACAGTCTATTTTAATGTGATTATTTATACACTATGAGTGAATACTCCTTGTTATGTTAGTACTTACAGATTCTCCAGATGGCAAATACACGTTCATTTAAAATACAATTTATGTGAAACTGTCTGTGCTAACAAAGTGAAATAGAAATTGCACTTTTCTGAGAGCTAACAGGCAGTGACTGCGTAGCATGGATGGATGCTTTGCTTTTTCTGGGTGAGGTCGAGATGGAAAATGTCAGTTGTGCACTTTGCTTTAAAATAAAGATAGGCTGACCTGTGATTTTCCTGACTTTTAATTCTTATTCCAATAGAACACATTTGAAGTGGCTTTTATATTCTGTCCTTACTGTTTGTGGAATAGCTCCTTTTATGGGTTAACCCAGACAGTTTCTATAGTTGCTAGTTTTCTTTCTTTTTTAAAAATACACTTTTATTGATTTCAGAGAGGAAGGGAGAGGAGGAGATAGAAACATCAATGATGGGGGAGATTCATTGATTGGCTGCCTCCTGCACGCCCCGCACTGGCGATAGAGCCCTGGGCATGTGCCCTGACCAGGAATCAAACTGTGACCTCCCGGTTCATAGGTTGATGCTTAACCACTGAGCCACACCAGCCAGACTAGCCTTTTCAACACAACAAAAGCTACAAGGACGTTTTGAGATGAGTTTAAATCAGTGGTTCTCAAGATTCTGGTCCTTTAAATACAGTCCCTCATGTTGTGACCCAACCATAAAATTATTTTTGTTGCTACTTCATAACTGTAATGTTGCTACTGTTATGAATCGTAATGTAAATATCTGATATGCAGGATGGGCTTCGGAGACCCCTGTGAAAGGGTCGTTCGACCGCCAAAGGGGTCGCAACCCGCAGGTTGAGAACCGCTGGTTTAAACAATTCAAATGAAAATCAGCCAAGAGGGAAAAGGTTAGCAAGCAAACTTCAGGAAAGCTCAAATCACGTTTAATGTAACAAACCGTCAGGCATATAGTTATTGTTGACAAGGGACGTGGGAGTCACTTTTGAGTAGAAAAGCAATTGTTGAGCCGAGGCTGCACATGCAGCGGGCTGGGCTCTGTTGGTCATAGGGGCAGGAGGAGAAAAGCTAAACATGACCTTGTGTGTACCAGCTGGGGCAGATAACGGGTTCAGAGAAAGGCAGTGAGCTGACGGCCACGAAAGGGTTATTGTGTAAGGAAGGGAGCCAGACAGCACTTCATTCCCAAAGGAGAGGGAGATTTCAGAGAGAGGGGCCCCTGCAAGTGGGGACGGGGACAGCGTCACAGCA